AACACACAACACTCACAACACACACAACACACACACACGACACACACACACACGACACACACACACACGACACACACACACACGACACACACACGACACACACACACACACGACACACACACGACACACACACACGACACACACACGACACACACACACGACACGCACACGACACACACAACACACACAACACACACACAACACACAACCACCACAACCACACACACAACACACACCACACACCACACACCACACACCACACAACACACAACACACAACACACAACACACACAACACACAACACACAACACACAACACACAACACACAACACACAACACACACACACATACCCACACACACCCTCACACACCCTCACACACCCACACACACACACCCACACACACACACCCACACACCCCCACCCCCACACCCACACCCACACACACACCCACACACACCCACACACACATACACACGCACATACACACGCACATACACACGCACATACACACGCACACACGCACACACACACGCACACAACTTCTTCAAACATCTCCGGCAATTCGATGTGTTTTGCCTCATCGAGGGCGCTTTGGGGCGCGCCGAAGGCTCTTCTGGGGTGTCCTGGGGACCTCCTCAGCCGTGCTGAGGCCATCCTGAGCTCTCCCGGTGCCCTTTTTGGCCGTCTTCGGCTCATGTTGGTTCCTCTTATGCGGTATTGGAAGCAACTTAGGCTGTCTTGGAGTTGTTGGGCCGTCTGGAGGCCTCTTGGAGGCACTGAAAAGGGGGTATCAAGAAAGGGGGCGATATGGTAGCGAGGTGCCGGGCCCCTGGGCGAGGATCGAGTTCCGAAGTTGTTTTGTCTTCGGGGCTCTCGCCGTCGTCTTGTTTGAAGCACAAGAACCGAACAACCATGTATGAATTTAGCGTCTCCGAGTCAACAACGACATCCCGGCTCCAGGAAGCCACGACCTGTTGTTTAGGCATCTTGAAACCTTCCTCCTCTGGCAGCTCTGACGAGCTTGATGCCGCAGGCAATCTCCCCCTCAAGGCAGCTGGCACCATGGGTGAAGACGTGCTCGCGAACTCGGTCAGCAGCACCGGAAAAGACGTCGAGGAGGCGGAGGAGGATCCACGAGGAGGATCGAGGAGCGAGCACCCAGGGGGAGGAAATTGGCTATCGAGGCAGAGGATCGAAGAGGGAGGACGAACGTCGAGGAGGGGGATGCCCTCTGGGGGAGGGGCGTGGGGTGGGCGGCGCGCCTGTGCCTCCAGCTGGGCGGCGCCCGCCCCGAGGTCGTCGAGGCCCCGGAACCTCGGCGCGCCCGCCTGCGGGGGCACTTCGTCCGCGGCGGCGGGCCGCATTCCGTGCGCGCCGCCTCTGCACCCCACGGGGAAACAGAAAAAGGATGGGATCAGGACACAGGAAAAGGAAACGGGAAACAGGATGGGAAGCAGGAGAAGGATGGCAAAACAGGAAGAGGATGGGAAACAGGAAACGGGAAACCGTAGAAAAGAAGCAGGAGAAGAAAGGAGAGAGGAAAAGGATGGGATCAGCACGCCGCGAGAGTGGCACGGACCGGGGGCGGTCCACGCCCGCATTCCTTTCTCCCCTGCCTCTTCCGCCGCCACCTCCTTCTCTTCGCACGTGACTGGCTGCCATACTTCTACTGCCACTACAACTACTACTACTGCTACGACCATTACTACTACTGTTACTACTACTGTTACTACTACTGTTACTGTTACTGTTACTGTTACTGTTACTGTTACTGTTACTGTTACTGTTACTGTTACTGTTACTGTTACTGTTACTGTTACTGTTACTGTTACTGTTACTGTTACTGTTACTACTACTACTACTACTACTACGGTTACTACTACTACCACTACTACTACTACAACTACTACTACTACTACTACTACCACCACCACCACTACCACTACCACTACCTACTACTGCTACTGCTACTGCTACTGCTACTACTACTACTACTACTACTACTACTACTACTACTACTACTACTACTACCAGGTGCTGAGCTCGGGCCGCACGAGATGGTCAAAACAGAGGCCCCGCCGAAAACGAGACACGCAGAAAGCGGCAACCACTCTCTGCACTGCCATCGCTCGCCGTTCCTCCGCCCGAGCCTCCAACCGCGCGGGCCTCGAACCAAGGTCGAAATCAACTGCGTGCGTGGGGGTCCACACCTCGTGCCCCGCTCTGCAGAGCAGCGGGCAGGAGAGATGGTGACCCCTTCCTCCCATCTCCTCCTCCTCCTCCTCCTCCTCCTCCTCCTCCTCCTCCTCCTCCTCCTCCTCCTCCTCCTCCTCCTCCTCCTCTCAGGGAGCCCACAAAGGACGTACGCGCAAAGCTATGTACATGAACGCGGCCCCTTGACCCGCGAGACCAGCCGCGTGTTCGCGCAAGGCGAACTCTCGAAACCAGCGTGGATTCATGTACGTGTACGTCCTTCTTTAGCTCCTGACCCTCCTCCTCCTTCTCTTCCTCCTCCTCTTCCTCCTCCTCGTCTCTCGGCCCTCGTCCCTCCTTGTGTTTCCTCTCTCCTCATCCGGGCTCTGGACTGCGGACCTTGAGCTCCCTTCTGGTGACTGCGGTCCTCAACGCCTTTCCACTCCTCCTCATCTGTATTCATAGGAATAAATCCTCCCTGTCGCGCGCCCAGATGTCTCTCTCTCTCTCTCTCTCTCTCTCGGTGAGGCTCGAAATGTGCAACAGCTTCAAAGATGGAGGGCGGTTCCTTTTCCAAGTGTTGCGCTCGCCTCGGCGCCGCGCACATTCGTGTTCAAGGCTTGCAGCAACTTCAAGGACAGGGCGGGGGGGGGGAGAAATGTGGCTCTTGCCTCAGCCCCGCGCGCGTCCGTCGCACAAAAGGCTGCAAGGATAGAGGGCGGGTTCTTTTCAAACAGTGGCTCTCGCCTTACCACCGCGCACACTTGTCCTGAAAGTTTGCAGCGGTGTAAGCATGGAAGGCGGGGTCTTTTCAACATGTGTGCCTATCGCCTCAGCGCCGAGCGCATGCGCTTTGAAAGTCTGCAGCTGCTTGACGAATGGAGGGCGGCTCTTTTTCAGAATGCGGCTCTCGCATGAACGCAATGCTCGTTGTTTGTTGACGCTTGCCGCAATTTCAAGGATTCGTCAGAAGTGAAGGGGGTCAGGCCGAAGTGACACGGAGAGCCCCCCACCGGGAAATCGAGAAAGGTTTCGTGTTCGTGCCGCGCGTGCGGGCGAGGCTGAACAGCGTGGGCTGGCGAGGTGAATGGATCCTCCTCTGGCTACGGCGCCTCTGGGCTAAAGGTCGGCTCGCTCCCCCCCAATTGACTGGCGGTGGCCGGGGGTGTCCCGCTGTGGTGCCCCGTGGTGTCCCGCAATGTCGTGCTGTGGTGTCTTGATGGTGCGGTGCCCCATCATGGTGTCCCATGACGTCCCATGGTGTCCCGTGGTGTCCCGCGGTGTCGGGCGATGGTGTCCCGCGGTGGTGTTCCGTGGTGGTGTCCCGTGGTGTGCCGCCGTGACGTCCCCTGGTGGTGTCCCGTGGTGGTGTCTCGTGGTGTCCCGCAGTGTCCCGTGGGTGAGATCGATAGTGAGATCGATATTAAAATCGTTAGTGAGATCGATCATGTGATCGATAGTGAGATCGATAGCGAAATCGATGGTAAAGACGATGGCGAGATCGATGGTAAGATCTGAGATCGAAAATAAGATCGATAGTGAGATCGATAGTGAGGTCGTTTGAGGGATCGGTTGGAAGATCGACCGTGAAATCGATGGTAGTATCAATAGCGAGGTCGATATTTAGATCGGTGGTGCGATCGAAAGTGAGACTGATCGTGAGGTCGCTTGTGAGATCTATAGTGCGATTGCTAGTGAGACTGGTAGTGGGATCGATAGCGGGATCGAGCAGAATATCGATCGTGAGATCGATCGTGAGGTCAATTGTGAGATCTATAGCGAGACCATAAGTGCGATCGGTGGTAAGACACGATAGCGAGATCGATAGTGAGCTCGATCGGGTGAGTTCGATCGTGAGATCGAGAGCGAGATCGATTCAGTGACGCGTTGGTTCCCTTAACGCCTCGAAGCTCCTTGGCACTCGAAGGGTGGATATATAGGTATGGTTGAATTCCCAGGTATGCTCGAAGCCCCAGGATTTAGGATTGTCAAGCAGCAGCAACCACGCTGGTTCAGGACGTTGAAGTCCCAGGCGCAAGGCTCTGGCACAGTTTGGGACTGCCAGGACGCAACAATCAGTTTGATCTGCGGCGTTGACATCCCAAGAATGGTGTTCTGGCGCGACTACTGATTCTCAAACGGTTGTCTTCCAAAGGGGGCCTTCCCAGAATGAGCATGCATTCTTGCAGGGATCGATGAACAAAGGATCTTGGCTGGAGGGGTGTATTGCAACAACGCTGACACGTCTTAATTACGCACTGGTCCTCCGGAGGCGCCGCTGGGGCTGCCTCCTTTTTCCGGAGGTGTGTGCACGCAGGCGCGGAGGAACCCGCAGGCGCCCCAGGGTGTGTGTTTCTGTCTTGCCTCTCTTCCGCCCTTCGGAGGAACTGTCTCGGTGCACAGGCGCTGAGAAGTGAGCGTTCGGGCTTGCTTATTTTCTAAATATTTCGCTACGCGAGGGCTGTACGTCCTGTACGTCTCCTCCTTCCTCCCCCCATGATCCTCCTCCCTCCTCTTTCTGCTTCTCTCCGGCCTCCCTCCTCCCCTCCCACCCCTTTAAAATCACAAGCAGTGTTTGGTGAGCGCTTTTTTTATTCGGGGTCTCGGCATTGGGCGGAAAGCGGGGGGGGGGGAGGGGGGAGACTTGCTCCAGACCTTTGCTCAGTGCGACTGTTTGCAAGAGTGCTGCCTCTGGGGGGGATTCCACCCGCCCGAAACAGGAGCCAAAACACAGCCAAGATCTACTCCATGGGGGGGGGTAGGGCGGGGGGAAGGGGCCCGCGCCGATCGGCAAAACAATGAATGCGAAAACCCTCGCTTGCACTTACGGGTGGTCCTACGTGCGTTGGAGTAATTTGATCGGTAGGAGGAGGAGGAGGAGGAGGAGGAGGAGGAGGAGGAGGAGGAGGAGGATCTTACGTCCGTTGCAGGTAGTTTGATCGGGTGGGCCGGGCTGGCGCCCGATGCCTGGCTGGTGGTGGGCGCCTCTCGCTGGCGCCTCGTGCGCGGGTGGGGTCTGCAGAGGGTGGTGCCCGCCCGAGGGCGCCTCGTGCGCTGGGTGGGCGTGCCGAGGTTCCGCCTGGTGTCAGGTCGGGCACGTCCTCCTGCAGGCGGATTCTGGGCGAAACATGAGGCAGATTCAAGGATACACTCGTCGAAAACATCGTCCCCTGCGATTTTTGCCCATGTTGGGGATCTTCCTCCTGAAGAGGGACAGGCCCGACTGAAGCCTGGTGCCCGCCCGTGGGCGCCTCGTACGCTGGGCGGCCGCATGGACTTCACTGCAGAGCTTGTACCACATGGCTGGCATCAAAGCAGCTTGCACCCTAATCTGCACCACACAGCTTGCACCACACACCTTCTACAAACAGCCTACACCATATAGCGTATACCACGTAGCTCGCACCGCATAGTTTACGCCATATAGCTTACACAACATAGGAATTACACCACATAGTGTACACCACACGGTTTGCACCACATAGCTCACACATCCACGCTGCAATCACCTGGTGTTTGGGGTGCATGGTGGCAAGCATTGCTGGCATTGCTTGGTGCTTGAAGCCCGATTATGATGTGAGATCACAGTTTTTTTCTCCTCCTCCTCCTCCTTCTCATCCCTCCTTCCCCTCCTCCCTGCTCAACTCTCCTCCTCCACCTTTCCCTCATCCCTCCCCTCCTCCCCCCGAATCCGCCCTCCTGCCCTCATCCCTCACTCCGAGTCCTGCTTCTGGTGTTCTTCCTTCTCCTCCTCGTCCTCACCCTTCCCTCCGCACATTCCCCTCCTCCTCCTTGCTCATCCTCGTCATCCGCCCCGTCCTTCTCCTCGTCCTCCTCCTCCCTCCACACATTCCCCCCCCTCTCAAAAGATGGGGGCCCAGTGAGCACATCGGAGCAACGGGGGGGGGTCCATAGAGGGTCGGTGCCGCCTGCATCGGCGGGATGCACTCAGTCCCAGGAGGCTCTCTTGCCCCCCGTGAGCGGATATGGGCCGGGCGGGGGCGCGATCATCTTCGCGCCCCCGCGGGTGACCTAGACCCTCGAGGGGAAATCGAAGCCGCGGTGACCCCGCGTCCCCAAACCCAGCGGTGACCTTTTTGGGGATTCCAGGTCGCCGCCTGGTATCTCACCACCCGGTTTGGGGGCTCCCGAACCTCTCGTCCAGGGTGACTTCTGGATGGGCCCGGGGCCTGGGTCCTCCTGTCTCGATTGGACACAGGCCGCGGCGGCGTGGACAGCGAGCCCTGTTCAAAATGAACAAGATACGCTGTTGGGCATTGTACCCATTCTTTCCGTACCCATTTCGGGCGTGCACCCCCTGGGATTCTCCGCGACTTCCTGGGCACCTCTCGTCCCGGGTGACTTCTGGATGGGCCCGGGGCCCGGGTCGCCCAGAGCTCCGCACGCCGCCCCCTGGATGATCTTTACAGTGCGTGTTGGCGCCAGCGTGCGCCTGTCCACCAAAGCCCTTCAAGACAGGGATGCAAGGAAGAGGAAAAGAGGGGAATTGGGAACCCCCAAACTGGGTGGTGAGATACCAGGTGGCGACCTGGAATCCCCAAGAAGGTCACCGCTGGGTTTGGGGACGCGGGGTCACCACCGGGTTTTGTGACTCCTGGACCCACCAGTGTCCGGGACATCCTCGGAAAACTGCACGAGTCCCCAAACCGGGTGGTGACATCAAATCGCCCGAGACTCACCGCCAGGTGTTGTCACCACCACGTTTGGGGAATACCAAGGGAAGCAAACGCAAGCAAACAGACTGGGCCAGGGACCGGGAGAGAAGAGCCACCGACACCAACACCAAAACACCAACACCACCAGGGACCACCGTAGGGACATGGGACATGGGACACCGACACCAACATCACCAGGGACCACCAGCGGGAGGAGCCAGGCGGGGTCCCCCTGGTGGTGTGGTACCCCCATCCCGCTCGAGACATCCCCTATCCCCAGCTCGGGGAGGCATCGTGGACCTCGTCGCTGGAGGTGGCCCCCTTTCGGCTACACGCACGAGTGACCCTGTGCAACAATGACCTTAAGTGCGCGGCTTTTGGGGGGCCGCGGGGGGACCAGACACAAGCGCGCAAGAGACTACCTTCGCATCGCGGTCGGCGATCGGGGGACCCCAGTGGGCCCGACCCAAAGGTCACTCCGGCGAAGGGTCACTCTTTCTAGGGGGACAAACAACGACGTAAACATAAAAACTCGGAGGTCCGCGCGGATTTCGCGGATCGGCGCTGGGCCCCTCTCCCTGGCGCGCGGAGCGCGCCAGGGGCGGCGCCGGAAGCGCCGCCAGGGGGCCCCAGCGCCGCTCCGAGAAATTCGCGTGGACCTTGAATTTTTATGTTTATGTCGTTGTTCGTTCCCCTACTTACGTGAAGTCGAGCCTGGTGGTGATGGTGTCGATTCTCCTCCCTCCGATGCCGAGGCACTTCCCGCGCAGAGGCAGCGAGGCTGGACCGGCCCCACCTCCTCCTCCTCCTCCTGCTCCTCCTCCATTTCTTTTCCTACTAACTGCTTCCTGTCGCACCCCGAGGCCAATTTTTAAGGCGGGCCTGGCGTTACGCCTGAGACTTCTTCACCATTTATGACCCCGCAACTTAAACATTGGCAACAGCTTCACATATGGAGGGCAGGTGGTTTTCAAAATATGGATCTCGTCTTAGCGCGGCGCAGATTCGTTTCAACAAATTGCAAGAGCTTCACATATTGAGGGCGGATGTGTTTCACAATGTTGCTCTCGCCTTAGCGCGGCGCACATTCGTTTAACAAATTGCAAGAGCTTCACGGATTGAGGGCGGGCCGTTTTCAAAACGTGGCTCTCGCCTCAACGCGGCGCACATTTGTTATACAAAACATGTGAGAGAGTTTCACGGATTGAGGGCGGGTGGTTTTCAAAATGTAGCTCTCGCCTTGCCGCGGCGCACATTCGGTTGAAGAAATCCCACCAGCCCTCTGGGCGCAGGTGGTCTAACGAGATTCCTGATCCCTCATCCAAAAACCCCTCTTCCCCTCTGGGGAAGGGTTTACCCCTCGCCTCACCCCCTCTCTGGACTTTTTTTGGGCGGGGTTCGTGAGGTGTCAGGGCGTCCAAAACGGCCTCGGCGAGGACGCCAAAATCATCGGTTTCATAAGGGTGTTGGCCCCATTTTGACCTCTTTGGGGGGGGGACTGAAAGTTGCACCATCTCCTCCTTTAATCGATGGCCTTCAAGATGGCCCCAAGCGGCCTTCCAGGGCTCCCAAGAGGGACGCAAGAGAGCCCCAAGAGGGCCCCCAAACCCCTAAAAGAGCTTCAAGAGAGCTCCAATACTCTCCCAAAGAGCCCCAGGAGAGCTCCAAGAGGCGATTTTGAGGGCTCCTAGCAAGGGGCCGAAATCGAGGACCCCCCAACTTTTGATCGATGCTCTCCTAGATGGCCCCAACAGGCCTTCCAGGGCACCAGCCGCAGCACCAGCAGAGGCAGCAACAACATCAGCAGCATCACCAGCACCAGCTCCTCTTTGGATCCCTCCACCTCCTCCTCCTCTTCTCCTCCTCTTCCCCTCGCCCCCACGCGGCCCCCAGGGATGGCCCGAAGAGGCCTTCCAAGGCCACCCCTTTGCTCTCAGAGATCTCTCGGTTCATCCTGGTTGCTTGCTTTGTTTCCCTAGATGTGTCGTCAGCTCCCGTGGGCAAGGCTTCTGAATGGGCTGGTGGGGATACTTTTTTTTGTTTACAGCCGCAAGCGGAAGCGCCAGCGGCGGGAGGTCGCGGGCGGGGCTGGTGGGGATACGCGAAGCGTAAAGAATTGCAAGCGTTTCGCGGCCTGAGGGCGGTTTCTTTTCAAAATGTAGCTCTCGCCTTGGCGCCGCGCACATTCGTTTACAACATTGTCTTAGAGTGTCGCGGATTCCCATCATCAATGTACCAGAAATGGTGCTCAGGAAAGATTCAGGATTATGCGGGTGCAGCTGTTTGCTTGATTCTCTGTGTTGGAATCCCGGCGTTCTGGCAATATTCAGGATCGTCAAGATGTAACGGTCAGGTTGATCCGTGGCGTTGGAATCCCGAGAACAATGTTTTGGCATGCTTCAGGGTCTTCAAACGGTTGTCTTCCAACGAAGCAGTTCCCTCAATGGAAATGAACCGTTCCATGGGGCCTATGAAGAGGGAGCCCTGAGGGAGGGTTTACTCCAACACCGTTGATGACTCTTGGGTTTACACTGGTCCTCCTCCTCCTCCTCCTCTTCCTCCTCCTCCTCCTCCTCTTCCTCCTCCTCCTCCCTCCTCCTCCTCCTCCTCCTCCTCCCCTCCTCCTCCTCCTCCTCCTCCTCCTCCTCCTCCTCCTCCTCCTCTCTCCCTCCCTCCTCCTCCTCCTCCTCCACCTCCACCTCTCCTCCTCCTCTTCCTCTCCTGCCTCCTCGTCCTACACTCCTCCACCCTCCTCCTCCTCCTCCTCCTCCTCCTCCTCCTCCCCCCCCCCTGGGCGGGGCCGCTCGGCGCCTCCGCCCCGGGCGAGTCGGAGGACCCGCTGGGGCTCGCCGGGGCGTGGAGGAGGCCCGCCACTCCTGCGGAGGCGGGCGGCCCTTGGCACAGCCAGCCTCGAACTCCTGTCCTTGTGGATGCCACGACAAAGGACACCCTAACAATCCGATCGTTGAAGTCAATCTGTGCTTCACATGTTCGAGATCTTCAAAAGTGTAAGCATGCTTTTTACACGTTTCGGACATGCTTGAAACATGCTGTAGGAGGCAACTCCTGGGAAGTCTTCGTTGGAACGAGGATGGGCGATGACGCCCGACTCAAGGGGCATCTGGCTGGATAAGGCCAACTTAGCCCGGAATTCAGATTGATCCCGCCGAATGTAGCTGGATTTAGCCAGATTGGAGCACAGTGAAACAAGCTATCGACCGCGAACATACCAGCGCCGATGCAGCATTGAACCTCCCAAGAACTGCATCCCAGTATCCCTAAGTTACCTCTAAGATGGACAGGCCAGGAGGCGACGGCAATCCTGGGGGTGCGCCGCAGAAGACTGAGGGGTCTCTCAAGACCAGCATCGAGATGAGGCTAGGGGACCGAAGAATGACATAAACATAAAAACTCGGAAGTCCGCGCGGATTTATCGGATCCGCACTGTACCCCCGCTCCCTGGCGCGCGGAGCGCGCCAGGGGCGGCGCCGGAGGCGCCGCCAGGGGGGCCCAGAGCCGATCCGAGAAATCCGCGAGGACCTCCGACTTCTTATGTTTATGTCAGTCTTCGTTGCCCTAGAGGCGATGCCAATCAGCCAGAACATCGTCTAGCTCGAGCCCTGGCCCGTACATTGAAGTCCGGCGTGTCCCTCCACAGGAGGAAGCTTCAAGAATAATTTAAAAACTGTACGGGGATGATTTTTTTACTATTTTCGATCATGTCTGTTAATTTTCGACAATTCTGCATTTTTCGCCTCACATCCACCTGTTGGCGGACACGTCCGACCTAACCGTGCCTCTCGGGAGCCACGCTGCGAGGAACTTACGACGCTGGACGTCGTCGGGGGGAGGGTGGCAGCGGGCCGCGGTCCCACCGCTCGGCTGCCCTACCCCCTTGCCCTGCATCTCGTGTCCATTCTTAGGTCGGGCACGTCCCCCTACAGGCGGATTTTGGACGAACAATGAAAAATGCACCAAACATATTCGAAACTAGTCAGAAATAGTAGGAGAATCGTCCCCATAATATTTTACTATTCTTGAGCATTCCTCCTGTAGGGGGACAGGACCGACTTAAGTCCAGCCCCTCTCATTCTCTCTCTCTCTCTCTCTCTTTCTCTCTCTTCCTTTTTTTTTGTTCCTCTCTCTCTCTCTCTCTCTCTCCTCCTCCGCTCTCCGCACTAGCGTCCGCCCGCTGCCGTTTGAGGGCGCCCAGGAGGAGAGTCTGAGATGCCCTCCGACCCCAAGTCGATCCGCAGCGAGCAGGTCAAGGAAGGGGACGGGGGAGGGGAACGTTGCTTGAGAAATCGCCTCTGGTCGGGTGGAGCAGATTCTGGAGGCGGTGCGATGCGGAGGGTGGGGAGGGGGAAAGGAATTCGAAGGAGGAAGAAGAGGAGGAGGAGGAGGAGGGTAACAAAATTAAAGCCGGAGTGCAGTATCCCCAAGCAGGGTTTTTAAACCCACTGCGGTTTCCAAGGTCGATTGCGTGCCCGTCCAGTGCGGGCAGGCATGGCATGTTCGAACATGATAACAGGATGTTTGTACATGAGATTTGTACAAGAAAACTTGTGTGACGCATGCCTATCAAGAATTTAACGCTAGAGGGTGTCGTACTCTCGAGCACCCTGGTCGACGAGTAAGCTGTTGGGTCGGCACTGTCAGAGGCTCCACCGCCATGCCGTGAACTCGGTAGCAACTGTAATAGGAAGCGGGGGAGGGCGCGGAAGGGGGGGGGATGTCGTGATGGTTCCCGCTTGTCGCCCCGGTTGCCCTGGATGGAACGTATCGGTCGGAGGCCTCGTTGAAGACCGCCGCAGCGATGGCTCAATACAGTTGCAGCGACGGCGACCTCCATGCCAACTGGAAGGGGGCAGGCGGATCAAACGCCGACAAGCGGTATTGATGTAAGAAACATAGAAATGCTTATCGAGTGCGCAAGGGGCATCAGGAAGTTCGATAGAAGGCTTTGGGGGTTCTCGTGGGCTCGGCTTCCAAAAATAATGATCCGTGCGCGTTCAACCCTGGACCACATACCAGCCAGGCTGCTGTGCATCTACGAATGCCACCAGCTCTTTGCGGCGTGAGTTGCTTAGCGAACTCCTCCTTCTAACCCCCTTCTTCCCCTTCGGGAAGAGGTCCCTCTCTCCCCGTACCCGCTCCCTCTGGGTGTGCAGCGGTTCCCCCGCGGGTCGTTGGATTGTCAAGATGGCTCCAAGAGGCCCCCGAGAGCCCAAGATAGCTTCCAGATTGGTTCAAGATCGCCTAACATGGTTCCACATCAAGTCCAGCATGCCTCGAAGAGGATATAAGACCGCTCCAAAACGGCCTCCAGCATGGCCCCAAGATGGCCCCGCGATGGCCCCAAGAGGCCTGCAACACGCTCCCGGAGCGAAAGACCTGTGCAAAGACCTTCGCGTCGCCGTCGTCGTCGCCGTCGTCGTCCTCGTCTTCGTCATTGTCGTGGTGATCGTCGTCGTCGCCTTCTTCGTCTTCGTCGTCGTGGTCTTGTCTGGCCCCTATCCTCCTCGTATTATTGTTCCCCTCCTTCTCCCCTCACCTTTCCTTTCTCGTCCTCCTCATCCCCCCCTCACGCCTTGCCCCTCTCTTCCTGCTCCTCCTCCTCCCCTTCCTCCTCTGCCACCCTCCCCCTTTCAAATGGTAACGGCTGTATTATGTTTGTTGCAATGCATGCTGCCACACTTCTCTGATCAAGGCAACTCGCCTGGGCATCGTCTCTGGATGGTGTGGTGGGGATCCGCGAAGCGTCAAGGATTTGTTACTCGTAAGGCTGGGCTCGCACCTGCATCAGCGAAGCGCCAGGCTCTTCACGCCCAGCCAAACGACGTCAGCGCTCGCAGAGCTGCGGCGTCTGTGGCGGCCTCTGTCTCTTCGAAGAGTCTGCGGAGCTGAATCATAGCAAAGAACCCTGACAAAGAACCAGTCCCGGGGATGATATCGAGAGGTCCGCGGGCGCACGTCTCAAAAGAAAAATCGTGACGTCGGATGTCTGGGGAGGGCGGACGGCAGGGTGCGCATGACGGATGCTGAGGCGGCAGAAACGACGACGGCGAGGACGGGGAGGCGGAGGCAGAGGCGCAGCAGCGGGAGGCGGGAGGCGGGAGAAGGGAGGAGGGAAGAGAAGCCAGGCGGGAAGCGGGAAGAGGGAGGTGGGAGAAGGAATGAGAGGCTGTGATTGGAGCCCCTGTGCTACGAAACGTCTCAGGCAGAACGGGCCAGACCATCTCGCGCGCAACATTTTCGAGCTTCGCATTGTGAAGATGGTCCAAACAAAACGGGCCGGACCGCCTCGCGAGCGACATCTTGGAGCTCAGTATTGGAAGAATGTCGCAGCACACGTTATGACAAGTCCACGTCACACTTGCTTCCTGGTAGGTCCTCTCCTGCAACTCCCTTCCTTCCTTCCTCCTCCTCCTCCTCCTCCTCCTCCTCCTCCCTTTCCTCCTCCCCCTCATCCTGCCTGCTCCCTCATCCTCATCATCCTCCTCGTCCTTCTCCCTTCCATCTCCTCGTCCTTTTCCTCCTCCTCCTCCTCCTCCTCCTCCTCCTCCTCCTCCTCCACCTCCTCTTCATCCCGAACGGCATCTCGGAGCCCAGAGTTGCGAGGATGTCTCCAGCGTAGCGGGCTGGACCACCTCGCGCGCGGCATCTCGGACCCCAGAGTTGCGACGATGTCTCGGGCGAAACGTGCTGCGAGGAAGTCTCTGGCGAAACGGGCCGGACCACCTCGAGCGCGGCGTCTCAGTCTCAGAGCTCCGAGTTGCGGGGCCCTCCTGGGGCCTCCTGGGAAGCCCTCCTGGGCCTCCTGTGGCCTCCTGGACTCCACCTGGGGCTTCCTGAAGCCTCTTGGTGCTCCCAGGAGGGGATATCTAAGATGTGCCGTCTGGTCTCCCCAAAATTGGGGGGGGAGCACAAGAGCAGGAAAAATCAACGAATCGACACCGGATGTGCATTAATGTGACACGTTCTGATAGGGGGCCTCCTGGGGCCTCCTGGGAGCCTCCTGGGAATCTCCTGGGGACCCCTGGGGCCTGTCACTGGGCGTCCTGCGGCCTCCTGAAGCTCTCTGGGGCCTCCTGGGGCTCCCAGGGGGATATGTTACATGTGGTCTTCTGGGCCCCTAGGCTGGACCACCTCTTGCGCGGCATCTGGGAGCTCAGAATTGCGAGAATGTCTTGTGCGAAACGGGCCGGACCACCTCGCGCGCGGCATCTCAAAACTCAGAGTTTCGAGGACGACTCAGACGAAATGGGCTGGACCACCTCTCGCGCGGCATGTCGGAACGCAAAAGTGCGAGGATGTCTCAAGTGAAACGGGCTGAACCACCTCTTGGGCGGCATCTCGGGGCTCAAAGTATGGAGTATGTCTCAAGCGAAACGTGCCGGACTACCTCTCGCGCGGCATCAGAGAGCGCAGAGTTGCGAGGATGTCTCAAGCAAAACGGGCTGGACCACCTCGAGCACGGCACATCAGAGCTTAGAATTTAGAGGATGTCTCAGGCGATACGGGCCGGACCACCTCTTGCGCGGCATCTCGGAGCCCAGAGTTTCGACGATGTCTCAGGCGAAATGGGCTGGACCACCTCTTGCGCGGCATCTCAGAACTCAGAGTTGCGAGGATGTCTCAGGCGAAACGCGCCAGACCACCTCGCGCACGGCATCTCAGAGCGTAGAACTTGGAGGAAGTCTCAGGCGATACGGGCCGGACCCCCTCTCGCGTGGCACCTGGGAGCTCAGAGTTTGGAGGATGTCTCAGGCGAAACGGGCCGGACCACCTCTCGCGCGGCATCTGGGAGCTCAGAGTTTCGAGGATGTCTCAGGCGAAACGGGCCGGACCACCTCTTGCGCGGACTCTGGGGACTCAGAGTTTCGAGGTTGTCTCATGCGAAACGCCCAATCCCAGACAACTCAAAAACGAGAGTTGCGAGGATGTCTCAGGCTAAACGGCCCGGACCACTCGGCCTTTGCATTGAATGACGTCTCTGCTGTGAATTCCCTCGGCCAGAGTTAGCTTCTATCACAACAGCACCCCGTTCAGCAAGCTGTTTGGGGCAAAAGGCGGAGGCTGCGGAGGGGGGAGCTCGCTCGCCGCTGCTGCAGAGGCCCCAGCGGAGACGCCCGACGGGCTTCAGCTACCCAGAGGAGCTCCACGAGGGGCACCGAGCCAGGGCCTCCAGCTCATACCAGACCTCCGTCGTCCTCGTCCTCGCCCTCCTCCTCCTCCTCCTCCTTTTACTGCTCCCGCTGCCGTCGAGGTCCATCTCCTCTCCCTCCTTCTCCCTCCTTCTCCTTCCTCTCCTCCTCCTCCTCCTCCTCTCCTCCTCCTCCCTCGCCCTCCTCCTCCTCCTCCTCCTCCTCCTCCTCCTCCTCCTCCTCTCCTCCTCTCCCTCCCTCTCCCTCCTTTCTCTCGGGCTCGGCGCCTCGGCGCAGGCCCCCTTTCGCAGCCGAATCCGCTCGGCGGCGGAGGCTGCGGAGGCGGGAGTGGTGGGGGAGAGCGGGCTCCGCCGCGCCCCTGCGGAGGCGGCGCAGAGGGGGGGAGGTGTTCGGCGGGCGCTGGTGGACCACGACCAGGGCGTCAGAAGAGGTGCGTGATGGGCCTGTGTTCCACCACCACTACCATAGGTAGGAGATGGAGAAGGAGGAGGAGGAGGAGGAGGAGAAGGAGGAGGATGACCTCCTCATCCTCCCTTCTCCCCCGTCCTGCATATGGTAGTGGTGGTGGAAAATGTGCCCATCAGTGCGGGGCGGGAGGCCGTGCGCGAGCCTGCAGGGGCCGAAGTCTCGGGGAGAGACGTCAGGCTCGGCTTCGGGGCGCTCGGGGCTGGCCTGGCCAGGGGCTCCCAACGTCGGTCGGCGCGCTGCGCGGAGCGCGAAGCGCGAATGACTTCGCGCTCTCGCGCCGCCTCCCAGGGGAGAAGTGGAGGATGAGGAGGGATCGGAGCCGAACCGCGAAGCGCGAATAACTTCGCGCCCTCGAGGGCGCCCTTGCTGACGGGGCCGTCACAAGAATGACGGGACCCAAACTGAAATTTGGCGCGAGCTCCCGCTGCAGACATCCCACGGAAAAAATGGACAATCAAAATCCAGGACACGCTCGTCAAGAAACGCCGTCAAACCCGAGTTCTGGCTTACTCGAGTCGTACGTTTCCCTCAACATAAAACGGGGATGAAGAGCAAGAGGGAAGAGGCAAGGTAAGGCAACGCTCCGCCTGAGACCGAGGCTCCAACGATCATGGGATAATTTTCGAGGTGCCCTCATCAATGCAAGACCTCGGCCTCCTCCTCCTCCTCCTTCATCTTGCTCCTCCTCCTCCTCCTCCTCCTCCTCCTCCTCACTCCTCGGCAGGAGGGCGCCAGAGACGGTGCCTCTCGGCAGACGTCGGCGCACGGCCGATCTCGGCCCAACAAAAAAGCCTGCTGCTGCGCAGCTGCAAGGGGGGCAAGGAGGAGTAAGAGGAGGAGGAGGAGGAGGGAAAGGAAGAGGCGGAGAACAGGGGGGGGAGACGCAGGGATGGAGGGAAGGAGGGCGGATGGGATGGAGAGAGAGAGGGGGAAAATGGTGGTGGTCCTAGGACGGGAAGAGGGGGTGAGGGAGGAAGGTAAGGGCAGGGAGGAGCGGTGACGAGAGAGCGAGAGAGAGAGAGAGAGAGAGAGAGAGAAACAAATAAAGCGGAGAGGGGAAGGGCGGGCTGGGGAGGAGGAGACGCCGGGCAAGAGAAGGTACTAGTCGGAACGGGAAAGGCGTGTGGGACAAGGAGCAGGACGAGCAAGGGGAGGAGAGGGAGGAGGAGAAAGAGAGGAAAATGAGAGTTGATGATGAAGTGAGGAGGAGGAGGAGGCTGGGAAGGGTACGAAGGAAAGGGGGGAGGAACGTGAGGAGAGATACGGAGCAAGACGGTGCAGAGGGCGGCAGGTACCAAGGCATATGGCAGGAGGCAGCACGGGAGAACAGGCGTGGAGGGCCCCGAGATCCGACGTTGCGACCCCAAAGGATGCAACATGGGCAAGAAATCGCGACTGGAGCCCCGACCCCACCTTCTCCTCCTCCTCCTCCTCCTCCTCCTCCTCCTCCTCCTCCTCCTCCCCCGCCGACGCGTTCCCAGACATCCCGCCGCCGTCGTCGCGTCGTTTTCCCAACCCTGGCCTGCCGAGAGGCGCCGCCCGGGCTGCCGACCTCGGCCGGCACACGACCAACCGGGCACGCTCGAGGAGGAGCCAGATCGATCTGTGTGAAGGGGCCCCAGGACACACAAATAAACACACACAAATAAAACTATTCCCCAGATTTTCCAATATTTTCTGGGTTTGTGTCTTCCCCCCCACTTCCCATATTTTCCCATACTTTCCTGGGAATCGACGATGAATTGTGTCTGTGTGTTTTTTCTTCTCCTGACTGTGACGGTCCCGGGGCCCGCAACCTGGCGAAAGCGGCCGGTGTGGAAGAACTGCAACGCCCGGATCGCAGGTCAGGACGCCGACGTCTCCTTTGCCGATGCCGCCGTGGCACCCCTCGCGCCACAGGCCGACGCAGTTCCCCATGGCACTCGCGCGGCCGTGGCGCAGAGGGGCCCACACGAGGGGGTCGCCGACGGGCAGTGCCCGCCTGAGAGCCACGTTGAGGCGGCGGCGGCGGCGTCGTGCTGCCTTGCCTGTCTGCGTCTCGTGCGCTCGCTGCTGCAGAAGCTGGTCCGCTGGAGACGTGGCAGGGCACGACAACGGCCCCCAGAGGCCCCGGGCGCCCAGGGAACGTTTGTGCGACTGGTCAACTGAGGCACGGCGGCGTGCAGGCCCCGGGCAATCCGCGACGGCGCCCCGCTCGCCAGGGGATCTGGCCCGCCGGCGGCAGCCGACAAGCACGGGCGGCCGGGAAAACGACGCAGGGGCACACAAACACTCCAAATCCCTTATGAATCGCCCCCCCCCCTCTAAAAAACCGGACCCCCCTCCAAATGCGACCTGATATTCCTGACCCCACTCTTGGACGGGGCGCCTTCCTAAACCGGACTCCCTTAGCTCCAATCCAGAAATCGCCTGCATAAACCGAACCCCCCCAATTACAAAAAAGGCACCTTACAAGACCAGACCCGGGGGACGATGAATAAGGGATTTGGAGCACCCGCGCAGGATTGTCCGCGGGACATTGCCCGCGCGAAATTGCGCGCACGAAATGGCCCCAGAGTTGCCGCCCAGGACGGCCGCACGACAAGGCACCCGAATTGCTTCCCTGTGCTTGTTTGCGAGCGCCCGACCCCGCCTGCGAGCGCCCATGAAAACCACAAACCGCTTGAGACATGCGTGCGAACACTTTGCGCGAGCAATGCCGTGTGTCATTTCGTGATGGATTTCGTGCCAGAGTTCGTGCAGTAATTCGTGCTTCGTTTCGTGCTCGTGTGGTACTCAACTCGTGCTCGCGCGGGCACATGTTTTTTCGCGCTCGTGCGAAACAATATCGCGTTCGCGCGGCCGCGAATTCGTGCTCGTGCAAGAATGGAGTATGACGGTTTAGCAGAAGGGCATACATGACAAGCAACGCGTGGCGAGTGATCTCCTTCGCGTTCGCAAGCGCTACTCGTGCAGTCAAAGTAATTCCCATTCGCTGGGAAAAAAGAACTCGCGCGCGCCCCTTTTTCGTTACGAAGAATTCCACACCTATGATCTGTGTGCTCGGCTGGAGAACGTTCTTCCAAGGTCGAGATAGCGGCCGTTACCGGCCCCGGCCGTCCACCCCACCCCCACAGGTAACGCCGCGATGCGTGTTGACGTCCGAACTGTTTTTGGTCATTCCTAAACGTTCGCAGACGGCACCAGCGCGAAACTTGACATTACTCCCCCCCCCCACGGTGACGCCCGTTATCGCCCGGGGATAAAAACATAATAATCTCCTATGTGTGTGTACTTGCGCGTCGCGCTGCCTTCGCCTTCGGCAGTCGGTACGGGCCTCACACCTGTCAATACACTGGTTTCCGTCTTGATAGGGGACCACATGCGAACCCTACCCCTACCCCCCCCCCCCGATTTCTGAGGGGGGAGAGTGGGGTTCACTTCGGTCGCGAGCTCGCCAGCGAAGTGAACCCCACCCTCCCCCTCAGAAATCGTGTGGGGGGGTAGGGGTAGGGTTCGCATGTGGCCTGATGTAGCTCCCATCGTACTTAAGGACCACATCCCAGAAATAACTTCGAGCACCAAGAAAAGTGTCAAAAGAGTGTCGAAACAGTGTCAGGCGAGTGTCTCCCAGGACTCGACACGTGAAAACCCTGGAGTTTCGGTATTTTTGTAGCCGCTCGACATTCTTCCTGGTGATCAAGGCTAAAGTAGGTTGGAGCATCATAGCCCGACTTGAGGCCGCACGCAAACTCCCCGTGGTGTGAGCTCGCTGCGCCTGAGGCCTCCGCGGCCGCCCTGTCTATGCTGCCTCCAGCTCTGGCGTTCCCTGGCCGCGCGCGGCCCGCCGGCTTCTCGACCACGCTGGCGCTCGCCTCTGACTACCTACCAGACCACCCCAACCCAACCCGAAGACCCGAATTTCGGGTTCGGGGGGGGTAAGGGTTCCACATGTGTTTTTTTCTATGTTTCCCGACTCCCCCCCCAGTGGAAATCGAGGGTCAATCTGAGCCTTCGGGTTGGGGTGGGGTGGTTTGGTGGGTGGTGATCCTTAGCCGCTGGCAAGAGAACCTCCTGTGCGCTTGTTGTGCTCGGCTGTGTGTGCATGGGCACCTGCACGCGGGCCTGCATCCTTGGCGTCGGCGCCCCTCGGAGGGGCGAACGCGGGGAGCAGGAGGACGTGGAGCCCCTGCGGGGCCCCAAATCTGGCCGAGTGCTTCCAATCCATCGAGGTTCTGGCTATCGCGCACACACACATAGTCAGGATGCTGATGCGAATGCATTCTTTTTCCGGGAGCCTCGGGATACCTCTGGCGACCTCCTTGCTGGGATTCTTGCTTGAAACCGGCCTCTGAAACAATAGGGTTGAGCAGGGACCGACCGTCCCGGCAGGCAAGCCAGGACGCGTCGCCACTGCTTGATAGCGAGCCCCTCCCCTGGGGAGGGCGGAGAAGGCAGGGAGCAGGAGAGGCAGGGGGGGGGGGAGCTGGTGTGCTGTGCAAACTTGCGGGAGCCCGCTCGGACTATTCCACCTCCTCCTCCTCCTCCTCCTCCTCCTCCTCCTCCTGCTCGTCCTCCTCCTCCTCCTCTTCTTCCCCCTCCTCCTCCTCCTCCTCCTCCTCCTCCTCCTCCTCCTCCTCCTCCTCGGCGGCTGAGTCCCCTCTGGATGGCGGCGCTGGAGGCGCTACCACCGGGCTTGCTGGGAAAGGGGTCCACCGCCAACCCGATGAATCAACGCGAACCTCCCAATGTCTTCTAATGGTGGCTTGGTCGTCGGAAATTCCGGTCCCTCGTCCTCCTCCCTCATCCTCGTCCCCGTCGCCCGTCACCCCGCACCCCTCCCATCCGTTCTCGTCCTCCTGCTCGTTCTCCCCCCTCCCTTCCTCCATTCTCCCCCTCCACCCCATTTCAGGAGCAGCAAGAAGTAGGTGGGGCCCCGCTACGCTTACTCCACGCTTCTGCATCCCAACAGCTTCCTGATGGGCGGGCGGGGCCGGGCGCCGCCCGTTTGTGGTGATGCCGTTCTCGCTTCTGTGACCCATGTGATGCCTGTTGTAGAAGGCAGAAAACCCACCCCGATAATAAACACCCCGACGCGCGAAGCCGCTTAACAAACGCACCCAAAGAAATAATCAAACAGGGCAGGGCTGTTTAGTAAACGCCCAAGGTCGTTTAGTAAACGCCAATTGTCTGGTCTGGGTGGTTTTTCCTCCCTTGATGTTGATTGGCCAGGACCCGTGCAGCCCCGTTCAGACGAGGCGTCTCTTGGAGATCAGTGAAGGTGTGCGGTCGGCGACCTTTATTGCACTTTTTCTGGCACGAAACTGCGATCGTCCCCCTCGCTGGCAGTCTGGTCACGGAATCCAGGTATCCATCAGTTTGCGCACGGTCGGAGTTCACAAGCGATGGCCTGCCCAGGGCAAGATGTACCGTATGGGTACGCCGCCCGACGCTGCCACGGGAAGAGGCCGGCTCTTCCGTAGTCGGGGACCCAAGACTGACGTGGCGCTGAACGTGCCGCATTTCCAGCCGACTACACTTGGCCGAGCGGCACAAGCATGGAACACTACGCTTGATGTTATTCTTGAGTGGTAGAACCACGAACGAATTTTGCTGCTGCGTCGTTCAACCACTTCGATACACTCATATCTTAATGATTAGTTCTCCTTCGGAGAATGATGCAAATCACTCAACATTGCATGGGGTATGAAAACAAAATTGTTCGCGAACTTCTGGAGAATCATCATCTTTGCTGCCCTTGCACTTCCGTGAAGATGGCGCCCACGAACTACAACAATGGCAACTCGAGCCACATCGACCACACGGCCATGCACTTGAGTATGCGCTCGCGCATGCATAAGTGTTTACTATGACGAGACTCGGGCGCAGGCTCCAGTTGTGCCCCAATCGTGGTGCATTTACTGATCTTGTCCCTGTGCTGCTGACTTTTGAATTGGAGATCCCTACTACGTCGCCTTCGGCACGCACCAGATGGGACCAACATTTGAACGCTGTGGCTCTTCAGACACCCGGCCTTCGTGAAGCGTTTCTCTATGATGTCGATTGTGCCCTTCAGCGCGACACCCCAATGATACATGTTTTTATTGAAGCTCCGATGGTGGAGCAAAGGTACGGTGCCATGCGTGCTGTCAGTTTCCGACTGCCGTTAAGCATCTTGGTCGCCCCACTGGCGCTCACGACCCTGCGACCGTTCCTCCAGGGCGTGAGGTTCGGCAGCTGACCAACCTACGTGGGCGTCTACGTCCTGCTGGTGTGCCTTCTTCCATCATAGCACCTCAAGGGCAAAGTACGGAAGTGGAGAAGAGCACTGCACTCTGCGCGGGTAGTTGAGCTTCAGGACACCTGGCGGTACCGCAAGAGGGCAACGGTCCAATCGTCATCACGAAACTTGTCAGGCACCTGCATGGGCCCCAAACGCCGCACCTACAACTCTGTACGACGTCGCGCTCCTGACGCCACGGACTTGGTTGATCAGCTGGGTCTTCCTGGCAACTGCGTAGATTGCCCGCTCGGCCTTACGACGAGAATCTAAGGACGAACGTGTTCGTCTACCGCCCATTGGCAGGGGCGATCGGGAGGCCGCTCAGGCTCGTGATCAAAAGACATCGGCCGTGTCATCCAGGTGCTGTGGTCTCTTTATGGTGGGTTGTGGTTGATTACTCGGGGATGGACAGAACCCCCTTTAATAAAACGTGGTTTAGTGAAAACGATCTCGGGCCCAAACCTGGCGGGCGCAAGCCTGGAAAATAACGGCCGCGGCGCTCTCTCGAGAACCGAAAACGGACAATTCACCAATCGACGTGTCAGGGTGGGGGCTCTGTCCACCCCCGAATTATGATGATGCCCCACTATGTGTCAAAAGAGCTTCGAGGACCTGAGGGTGTTGGTTTCCAGTATACTGTGCCTTACATGCCCAACCTCGCGCAGACTTTCCTGGCCCCATGCGGCGGCATGCCGACGTTGTCGGCGTCAGTCTTCACGTGCGACGGCT